TTTTTTTGGGGGCGCCTGGGGAAGGGTTTATGGGTACCAGGAGGAATCGGGGTTGTCAGGACTGAAATCCCGGGGACAGCAGGGCCGGAATAAAGGGCGGGGTCCCGTTTGTCGCCCCCTCCTCACCCTGAAGAGCAGCAGCAGCCCCGGCCCCGCGGCGCAGAGCAGCAGCAGCACCCCCTGCGCCGTCAGGATCCTGTTCTTGGTGGCGTCCCTCAGCTGCAGGAATGGCACCGGCACGGGCTCTGCCGGACCGGCCGGGTCAGCCAGACCCCCCGAAACCTCCCCGAGCCCACCCCCCGAGACCCCCACTCACCGTCCACCCGCACGAAGGTGCCGCAGGACTGCGCGGCCGCCTCGCCGAACTGCAGGCGGCAGAAGTAGAGCCCGCTATGGTTGTGCTGCAGGCTCTGGAACCTCAGCGTGGACACACAGCCCTCCCGGTCCACCTGACGACCCCCGCCCGCCGCCGGCACCTCCTGCGGCCAGCTGCAGCCCCAGCTGTGGTGGCGCCGGGGACACACCTGCAGCCAGGTGACCGTGGCGGCCGGCGGCGCCTCGAAGCGGCACTCGAGGCTCAGGGACTCGCCGGGAGCCGCGGAGCGGGACGTAGGCCCGGGCCACACACGGAGCTCGCCCGAGGAGCCGCAGGACGGGCCGGAGGCGGGGTTGATGGCCACGGCCAGCGGCTCCGGGGGCTCCGAGCGCGGGGGGACAGCCGGGGGGTACGCGGGGCTCTGGCACTGGCAGCCTGGGCGGGACAAAGGGGGCTCAGCGAGCCTGCTGGGGGGGCACTGCGGACCCGCCGTGGGGCAGGGGCTCGCACAGAGACCCCCGATCCCTGCGGGGGGATCCCCGCAGCCCCCCATGGGTGAGGGTCTCACACAGAGAGCCCTGGGTGACACCGGGATGGGGGGGGGGGTCAAAGAGCCCCCCGATCCCCGCGGTCCCCCCGTGGGTCAGGGTCTCACAAAAGGAACCTGTGTTGAACAGTGGGGGGGTCCTTGAGGGGCAGTGACCCTGCTGTGGGGTCAGTGCGGACCCCCGCGGGTGGGGGTCTCGCACAGGTGGCCCAGGGTGGCCCCGCGGTCCCCCCAGTTTCAGTTTCCTGTCCCCAGTTTCAGTTCAGCTGCGGACAGGAAGCTCGGCGGGGTCACGCTGGCACAGGTGGCTCGGGGGAAGCACGCGGTGCTTTTGGGTTCCCCCAGAGACCCCTGCCGGGTTCAGGGGTCCCCCTGGTCATGGGGGATGGGCACTGGGGACCCATGAGGGGTGGGCACAGGCGGGACCCCCAAGATCTCCAGACCCTGAGACCCGGCAGGTCCTGAAACACCCCAGCCCAAAACCTGAGACTCCGGAAATGAGATCCTCAGCACCCCTGAGAATCCCCCAGACCCAAACCCTGAGACCCCAGAAGTGACACCCAGGGACCCCTGAAACCCCCAGATCCAAGCCCTGAGATCCCTGGGACTGCTGAAACCCCCAGACCCAAGCCCTGAGACCCCCAGTACCCCTGAGACCTTCTGACCCAAGCCCCGGGACCCCTGAAACCCCCAGACCCAAACTCGGAGACCCCCGGGACCGTTGATACCCCCAGACCCAAGTCTGAGACCACTAGGACCCCTGAAACCCCCAGGCGCAGCCCCGGAAAATCTCGGGACCCCCAGAACCCCCAGACCCAAGCCTCGGTACCCAGTTCCCCCATTCCCCCCCCCCCCCCCCCCC